CCTCTCAGAGTTGTCTGCAGAATGCACAGAAAAGACACATTGTCTCAGAGACTGTCCCTGGGATCATCTTACCTTTGTCTGAAGCCAGGAGCTGCCATCACAGAACACAGGGTCACCCTAATAAAAAATGTATATCTAGAGTACATAATAAATAGTTAACAGTTGTTACTTTTAGGGAGGAGGAAGGAGTTGGGAGACATGTGAAAAGGAGATATCACAATTTATTCTATATACTTCTTATACCAATGTATTTGGAAAAATAAATCGAGGATCATAAACCCATAAGAGAAAAGCTGGTAAAAGTAATTTATCCTGGAATCAGAAACAACCTGCTCACCAACTTATTTTCTGATCACTTCACAGTTGGGATTTGTGCACTGGCTCCCTGAGCAAGGGCAGTAAGTCACCAATTACAGCATTCCCCCACTGCCTGAAAGTAGAGCGTTCCTTCGAAATCTTTTGTAAGCCCAAATGGCATAAAGTGAAAAAGTAATTACTACTGATATATATGGAAACATTTTTTAGCATTCCCAGACCCCCAAAATAATCTCTTAGGCTTATCTAATACCTTAGTGCAGATCTTGCTAATGGATGCACAATATAAATTGACATTAAAGCACAGATACGCACACTGCGCACAGCTTTGGGGGCTTGATGCCAAGCTACTGAGTATGGTTCCCCGGGAAGAAGCTAGGTGGCGCTACTCCTGCTGTTGTGGGTATGCACTGGCCCCCAAACACAGCTTGCTGCAAAACAAATGCTAAACGGTTATTTTCACTTTTTGACTCTTCTCATAAAATCAAAAAACCTCGGATTTCTTTCAGTTAGCGAAAACAGGTGCTAATGAAATAGGTCTTTCGTAAAGGCAAATTGGCATAACTTGTACTTTTGAGAAGCCGGGGAATGCCTGTATGAAGTAACATCATCTCATCAATTTTCAGTGAAATTCTGGAGGGAGCAGCTTCGGGGACCTCCACGTTTGGCTTGGAGAGATCCATGTGAGCGTCCTCTCTCCCTGCCAGCTGGAATACTTTATTGCTTGGCAAACAGTGTAATTCCCTTACCCTCTTCGCTTGACTGTATCCCATAAAATGGTCATTTAAGCAACTTCTGCTTTAATTCTACTTGCTGCAGAGAAGATATAGGAGCCAACTCTAGTTCGACATTATCCTATTATTATCACCCTTTTCGAAGGGATGGCACATGCAATGCTCATATCAGGCAAGACATCTCAATTCTGGAGTCATCTACTAACACTAGCAGGCAGCCTGGGCAGGAAACACTGAGCAAAGATGTAATAACGCCTCCCTTTCCCCTCCATAAACCCCACCGAATCCTCAGGTACATACGCTTCCCAATAATCAGGTGAGGAAACTAAGGCTTTGGTTAAGCAAATTACCTGAATTTGCATGAGAGTTGATATTTGAATCTGGGGATAATCTGGCTCTAAAACCCAGTCTTTCTGTTACACAAAACTGCCTCTCAATAATCCAGACTTCTCAAGGAAAGAAGGGAAGATGCTAGTGGAAAGTTAGTCTATTTTGAGTCAAGAAACATCAACTGTGGTACTTAATCCAACTCTGCTCCCTTTACAGGATTCTGGGGCAAACGGCCACCCTCTCAGCACCATCCCGCTGCTCCCACGCTGCCCTGAGGATGCAGCCCTGCAGAGCCGTTCGTGTGTGTATAAAGGCATCCCAACCAGGACACTCCCAGGTCATAAAGCAACAACTCAAGAAATGGTCATTAACCTTTTAAGATCTGGTTTATGTGTCTTTTCCTTTCCCTGCAATTAGTCTGATACATTAATCCAAACACTTTTTAACTTTCTATCAATGTGTATACAAGGAGCTAGATAGACTCTACTACTAGACCAAAACCCCAGAACTTCCAACTATGAGAAGGAAATGTGCTGTCATGGGGCATATATATCAGATCCTCTGGAAAACTAAGGGTGGAATGTTAATTACCCCCAAACTCCCAGTTGATTATAATGCACCGTATTGAATAACAATCACAGCTCTAAAGCGAGGTCTTAAGAATTAATCAAGAATTCATCCTTGGGAGATCCCACAGTATTAGGGAAATGTAAGATTCAGGTGTCTTTTAAAAGTTCTTAACTCTCAATGAACTGATGTTACATGTTTTCTATACATGCTGATTTAAAATATCTCGAGTTAGGAAGTGCTAATTCACTTATTCCATCACCACCTATTACATCAGGTTAAGTGGTCACAAGTGCTTGCTAGCAATAAAGAGTCGTTAGGCATTATTTCTGAGTAAAATGGGAATTAAAATTTTAGAGCCCAAATTGCGTAAATTACTATGCAGGAATCCATATGGCTGAGAAACTAAGTTTGATGGAAGAGGAATAATAAATCTTATTTCCACACTAGGGATTTACTTACAAAAACTTCTTATACCTCTGAATAGTTCATACTGTCCAACACGGTTATTTGTTACTTTCATGTTCTGAGAGCAGAGGCTGCCCTCCACGTGTCTTCTAAGCTTGGACAAACCTTTGCTTTCCTGGCTGATCTTGCTTCTGAGCAAGCTAAAAGAAGAAAAGAAATTACACTTTAAAGGACAGCCTATACCCTTTCCTCATGTCACTGAATGTAAAATGTTAATTAAAACAAATAAATGCAATAGGAGTGGGAAAATTAATAAAGTGATTCTTTTTGCAACCCTGAGAAATAAGAAAACCACCTCTAGGATCTATGAACAGGAAATGTGAGACTTTGGCTTGCTGTAACCTCAACTGCTAAAGGGGCAATACCCCTTCTCTCTTTTCTATCTAACTACTGGATGTATTTAATGGCTTACATGAAAATCAAATAGGTTTTTAAAAGCTTGGGGCTCAATCTGTTAAAACAAAATTTAAAAAATGAAAGCTAAGCTGAAAACATCAAGAAAAGTTAAAACAAGCATAAATGCTGAGTTCAAAATAAACATTTTCACTGTAACTTTTATGAAGTATGGAATGAGCTTTTTGGTTTTTCTATAACTTGAGAGGTTTTGTACTTTAGATTGTATGTCCCAAATAAGAATACAGGCCCATAAGCAGGTCTGACCTATGGTGACCACTGATCTTTTTCAAAGTAGAAAAGAACATAGGTTATTTTCATAAAGCTGGTATTTTTGCATTAAAATTAAACTGCAATCTATCTCCTAACATACAAAATACTGTGACAAATCAAATGATGTTCTACATTCCAACTGAATTCCATGCCATTTGTATTCATCTTAAATAGGATTTACCATATAAACATGTGTGAGGCCAAGGTGGCAATATACTGTGAATCCTAAGCTGATTTTCAAAAGGATGCATCACAGGTTCACATTTCCACATCTACAGAACTTTATTAGCAGGTAAAACACGTCAGCATGTTTTATTTAAGGGCAAGGACATTCATATAGTAACAAATGGCACACTGTCATTCAACAGTTGAACTTTATCAACAATGATTTTTAAAATACACTACTTCAAATAATTATTTGAAAAATTAACTAATAAGCAATTAAAATAACATTTAACAGCAATTTTAAAAGCTCACTGTTTACTATTTACCATAAGCTGGAATCATTCCAATACAACTTCTATTTTTTAAAAAAAGGATACTATACATGTTCTACAGGCCAAACAAGTGGTCAGCTAGGAAAAGCCATTGACAGTGATCACTGGCTCCTGCCTCAATACTCCAGTTCCTTCTCTCAAAGAACAATGAGTTTAGGCAGTCATTTCCCAGTACAGCGTACAGTTATATAAAGAGAGCGACCATATAACTTATCCTCCAAATTAGGGCACTTTTGAGAGAGGAGGCACTATTTTAAGCTGAGAAAACAGGAATAACCAGAACTGTTCTGAGCAAGCTCAGGATATATGTCACTCTGGTTAAATACAGCATCAGATACACTACATTACTTTTGTGCTTTTGGAGCCAGTATAGGCCAGTTGAAAATAATGTTAGATGAAGGAATTTTTCTCCAATTGGACTTTTTGGACTCCCATTACTTCCCGTTAGGACAGATTTTGCTGGAAATACTAGTGACTACTGTCTTAACAGGTTAAAATTTATGAATAACCTTACCTGGGATATTATAGACTCAAAAAGCTAGAGATTACTATTTTTTCTATTAAACAGAGATTTTCATTTTAACCAAGTGTAATAGGATTTGTCTTTTTAAATTTCTAAAATCCTGACCACACTATATAGAAAAATGTATTTTTGCCTTGTTTACTCCATAAGTAGACTATCCTGGCCATAAATAGCTTATTCAAATGTAATAGAAATGATTTAATAAAGTTTTGCATTAACCTCCAAGCCCTAGCTCACATTCATTCACAATATTTAGACACAATAACAAAGATTTTGATTTTCGATCTTTAAGGCAGAGTGCAGATGATTAACTGTCCTCCAGACACCACAGCAGCTGTTCTATCCAAACATATAGTAAATGAAGAGAGGTATGCAGGAACTGACAAATCTGTAAGGAAATTTTAAGTTTTTAAAAATAATATGATTCCCCTGATGAATGATGAGAATTAAGGCTACCATTGAACTGTACATGTACCTATTATGGAATACTTGATAACATGCACAAATCAAAACAAAAAAGTGAAATTTTTGATGGTGCTTGAAAGTGACATATTAATATAAATGCCACAAAAACTAAAGTGAAATTTTAATAAACTGATGTGATAGCTGATCTAGTAATTTTAAATCACCATGTACATAGCTTAATTTCATTTAAAAATTATAAAGAACAAAGTATAGGCCTATTGGAAATTAATATGAGATAAAAAAAAGAGATCTAGGATGAGTTTACATTTCTTAAAAGCACATGCTAATTTTATCTCCAGGGAACTAAATTAAATTTTGTTTTCTTTAACCCATCCTATTGTTTTACTTCAAGGATGTAACAGTTATTTTAATCAACAATAGAATTTCTAAGCAGGGAGGAGAATGAATGAGGGAAAACAAAAATGGGAGGCTCAATTAGCAAAACAAAACTTGCATGTTTTATTTATCGAAGACAATGAAATAAATCAGAAAATACACATAAATACAAAAGAAGTTATAAAGCATAATAAATTTTATTTTCAGAAGTGGAAAAATGTCCCTGCATAATTTTAGATGTGTATTTTAGTAGTAGTCAGTGTCTAATAATGAACAAGCCATCACTTTTATATGTTCTACATAGCCATATTAAATGATTCTTAAGTTTAAAAGATATAATTCCCACCATTTTTTAATGTTGGCATTCAAAAGCAAAGATATAACTGAAAAGAAACAGATGAGACATAAAATGATTTGCACAATGTAGCTTATGTAGATTCCAGTTGTATTTAATAAATGGTCAAATACACACACTCTCCCAACATACACACACACCCACACCCCTACTCTATGCCACAGACACATTCCCCTAACTTGAAAACAGGTATTTCACACATCTCAAGTCAGCATATGATTTTTACAAGTTAATCCTACAATCATAAAGGAGCTATATTAATAGTACAAGTTTTTACCTGCTAAGTTTAACTAACTAAACATCTAAAGAAAAAATTATTACAATGATATTGGAAGATACTTTTGTTTTTTTTAAAAGAAAAATGCAAATATTCAGAAAATTAATTTTCAGAAATGTCTTAAATGAAATAAATATAATACCTAATACAATCTCTTTCTGCAAGAATCTTTATGATGGGCAATACTAAAAAACCAAACTTCTCCTTTGAGAATCTCTAAAACTCGCATTTCCTTAAAAAAAAAAATTTCTTATAAAGGATGTGTGGAATACCCACATTTTCTTAAAATTTGTCCTAAAACAAACTATCTTTAACACCCAAATTGTCTCTATATATTAAGTTCACTTAATTTTAAATTAATGAAAAGATATCCAGATACAATTTCTAAGAAAACAATGCAGAAAGTAATTTATGTGCAGTTATTTACAGAAGTTTTGCTAAATAATGATGTAAATATCAGGTTCAAAAATCTGACAAAGCCTTTCTAATAATCAGCACTGCAGGTTTCAAGAAAACATATATAACAAAAGAGTCATGTGGAGAGTTATTTGATGAATCTCAGAGCCAGAAACTAAAGCATCTGACATGGTTAATAATTTCATTTTTATTATACTAAATGTCAGGTCAGAAGTCAATGGCATTTACAAGCTGGAAGACTGTTTATCACTCAACTCTTTCAATGATATAAAACACTGATTAACCAAATGGACTTTACTGCTACTTTATGGTTTCCTTCAAGTATATGCAAATCTTTTAAATGGGCACTTATGTAAATATGCAAAACAAATGAGATATAAATATCTAGAGAATGAACAGAAATGGCTTTGAAGCATAAACCACTCCGTCATTCAATTCTGAAGCTCTATCTTCTCTTCACCAATTTGTCTTCTGCTTTTAGTAGTCTTCTGTTAAAGTTGTAAGTTTACAGAGGATCTGGAGATTTCACATTGGCATAAGAAAGGAATGTCTGGTCAATGCAGCCTAGGAACAAAGAAAGAAACAGTCTTAAAATGTACTAAGTTGCAATATTCTAAATGATAGCACAGTAAAAATCCACAGTATAGCAGTATTTCATCAGTATATATAGTGGTCTTTTGATAAAGATGCCATAAAGTATCATGTATTAGAATAAAAGTTTAAGCTTCTAAAGGAGATCAGCTAGAA